GTAGTTAAGTCTAAAATTGTATATATTGAATCTTTCGTTATAAATTTCCATCTACTGCATGCAGGATCGCCGGGAGAGAGGCAGAGTGGAACTTTATCTCGGGCGGTGCTCGCAAAACAAGGGACCCTTAAAATTTATTGATGCAAGATTGATGAACTCAGAATATAAATCTCAGTACCCAGATGAATAATACATCTAAAAATCTCAAAAAATTAAGAAAATTGTCGGCAAAAAATAAACGATTTTATGTCCGCAAAATTTTTTCCGGCACCAAATGAACCATTTAATTTGTCCGGCGCCATATGTCGTGAAAATTTTTTGATCAAGATTATACGTATAGTGTAATTTACAGCATGAGTTCCACATTTAAATTTTACTATACGAGTAAATTGTTAAACGCGTCCGAATTTATCAACATGATAAATGCCAAATTCGCGGCACCTAACCCTTAACCTTAATTTTGTGTTACACAGCTTCGATCATGTTATATATATACCCATTATCAGTAACCTTGCCCGCTCATTCAAGTACTACAGTATGTATATCTATACTGAAAAAAAAAATCAATCCAAAAATAAAAAAATAAAAAATACAAAAATCAAAAAATAAAAAAATAAAAAAATACAAAAATCAAAAAATCAAAAAATAAAAAAATCAAAAAATCAAAAAATACAAAAATCAAAAAATCAAAAAATCAAAAAATACAAAAATCAAAAAATCTAAAAATACAAAAACTGTTTTTTGATGTCGCGTCTGGGCCGCCGTAAGTTATGAAGCCATTACCAAGCGAAATGAATTGCATTAACCTATACTATAGCAACAATTCAGATAATTTGTTACCTTAACTTAAGTCCCGTTTACACGGCACGTATACACGACTTGACGAATGTAGCTGCAATATTTTGCAATGGCACGCACGGCATGGCAAAATTTGTTACGGCAAAAGCAGTGGCGGCGCCAGGGGAAGGGGCAAGGAGGGGCAAATGCCCCCCAAAATTATTTCCCCCCCCCCACCCCCCCATTTTGCCCCTCCCCCCCTCAAAAAAAATATTAGTCACTAAGAGCGACTAAAGGCTACACAAGGGTTTGGTCGTTATCGGAAAATGTATGGCTTATAAGTTGTCATTACTCATTAGTGAATGCGCGTATACATGAAACTGTTTTTTACAGTTTCAATGATTAGTTTGTAAATCTGTGAATGGTAAAACTTGCCAATACTCCAATAATACGTTTCAAAAAAAGACAAAAAAGCTTTAGTTTTGCAGAGTTAAATTCTCAAACGTGTAAGGCACTAATAAGATGAAAGTATCACGAAATTATTTGAATAAACCACATCGCATATATGGGGGGCGAATATCCTAAGGAGGGGCGATATTCCCAAGGCCGGCGCTACAGGGGGGTGTGGGGGGGGTGGAACACCCCCCACTCGTCAGCTAATCGGCAAATTGTTATCTCAGTCGGCAAAACTGGATTGGCTAAAGATAACCACTGAAGAAACCAAATTTGACCTCCTGAATAATTGAATTCAAACCGAATATCACGAATAGCATGCATCAAAGAAACCACACATGCAGCAATGCAATTTTTTTCGAATACAGTATCTTCACTTCTGGCAGCTAGTCCAAAAACATAATATTATCGAAATCATAATTAGGTAATTAAATTTGTTTGGTGGTGGTGGTTGTTGTTGTTGTTGTTGTTGTTGTTGTTGTTGTTGTTGTTGTTGTTGTTGTTGTTGTTGTTGTTGTTGTTGTTGTTGTTGTTGTTGTTGTTGTTGTTGTTGTTGTTGTTGTTGTTGTTGTTGTTGTTGTTGTTGTTGTTGTTGTTGCTTATTACACTGTTCTATATACTGTTCTATAAAAGAGGCAATAAAGTCGGTTTTCCACTAGCGAATTTTCTCGCAAGAAGGGACCTTTTTCCTTTGTCGGTATCACTTATTACGTCAGCAAGACGTGGCAAAATCAGTCCTCGAAAACGAGGTCGGCATTCGGCAATGCCGGGCTAAATGCAAATTTTTGGCCACCTTAATTCAACCAAAGTAAGAATTTTTTATGCTGATAGGTTTTAAAATGTCAGCGATTATAGAATTCGATTCGTAGTTCGATTAACTGAACACACTACGGTGTAAGGTTTAAAAACTGACGGGTATTCTGTATTGTGTATTGTGTATTGTGTATATACAGTACGTTAGATGTTTGAAGACCAAATGCGCGTCTGGAGTTAAAATTTGGCTCCAACTTTCGAATTTTCCGGCTGGAGGTAACGTTCCAGTTATATTCCGATTTCAATGATTCGTAAATGCTTGATTAATAGTGCTCCAAGACGTGGAACAGATTTTAAGAAATGCCGAGATTTTGACTTTTCGAGGGCTGCAAAATGGATGCCGACAGGAATTTTGGGTTTTCTGATTATGCGTGTCTCAGAATGATGCAAATGCCATTTCCAGGATTCAAATTTTAAAATTTTCCGTGCCTTCGGCACGTGCTCCCCCCCCCCCGCAATATTTCATAAAAATAATGTCCGCCACTTGCACACACGGTGGCTTAAAAGGTCTTAAAACTGTTTACTCTACCGACAAATAAAGGGTTTTTTATTGACTGGGATTTCAATAACTCGGACTGGGATTTCTAATAAAAATCCAACTGGGATTGGGATTTTGCCAAAATTTCAGGTGGAAAATGGGATTGGGACCCCCCCTTCATGACCCTCACTATTGGCTAATGACTCGGCAAAATTACCAAACAGCAGTCGGCAAAAGATCACTCACCCCCCCCCCCCACTCGAAGAGGGTTAGCGCCGCCCCTGGATATTCCTAGGGTATTCGCCCCACCTCCTGGGAGGCGATATTGCCCCCGGGGGCGAATATCCCTAGGAATATCGCCCCCCCTTTTGATGGGGGGGGGGGTGGGGCGAATCTCCTGGGGGGCGACCTTTTCAAAATTTCTATCTTGCCCCCCCAAATATGAGTTTGGCCCTCAAATGCCCCCCTCCCCCCAATGCCACTGGGCAAAAGTTAAATTTAGACACGACATGTTTAGTCTTAATATTGTGGGACATTTAACTTATCTAATTCCAATACGAGTATATAGTTAGTTTTGAAAACTGCGCATTTAGTTATCTATATGCTTTGTCCAGATTTACACTCATTTATACACGGCATGACTAGACACATTTTTTGCTCGGATAAAGTTTATCTTGCATGACCAAATTAAAGCAAAACATTTAGCGAACTCAGTCTACGCTGCCATGCAATTTTGAGACTAAAGTGTATAGTTATTTGTTTATCAAGTCAAATCTCGAAGGTTTTGAACATTTAACGATTTGCACAAGATCGAAACTGGGTCACGCAGTTCCTGGTCCACTATAGTACGAGCGTACTTGTTTGTACAAATCAGCAAAATAGTTCAAAGATTAGGACTTTTAGCTATACAACAATGAATTTCCGAAATATATGCTGTAGGTATGTTATTCTGCTTTTTGTGTGTTCTGATTTAACGTAAAATTTAACTTGAAACGCTTCGTAAAATCAGTTTGAAATGTTCTCAGGCATTCAACTATTAAAACTACATTTGCCGTATTAATCATAATAAGTTCAAATTGTTCGGTAATTTCAGTTCCGACTTCAAATCAATTTGTTCTGCTTTACATTTTAAGTTTTTTTCTTAAATTAAATTAACAGGATAATTTAGTTTGGAAACTTACAACTTTGTTGGAAACTGGAAAGTAGTTCATGTTTTAGACAAAGGTTAAAGCTACAAAATTCATAAATATTAATCATTTAAAGCAAACTTGCCCCATTTTCACGATTTCACATAGTGCATAATTTTTTTATTTCTTCAAACATTAATTGCTTCAAAGCTGACGTGAATTTCCAAATATATATTTATGAAAATTGAAAGCTTGCTTATCCCACTCCTGGAAAACAGCAATATTTTTTAGATCAGTGAAGTCCACCCATGAACCATAGTCACGCGCCAGCGATACTTGATGAACTTTTGACTTCGCTAGTGCTTTCCTTGCACTGGGTGTAAATGGCCGGGCGGAATTAGTACTCTCGCACCGGGCTTACGCCCGAAACGGCGCTCAGCGGCGTTGGCTCGGCGATTAATAGCTTGATAGAATAGAATAACACAAAAATTTTGTAGCTAATGCAGAAAACTAATTATCAGTTAACTGCGAATGGGTCAACTATTGTGTTTACCCACGCTTGGAATCAATTAGTTCTGAATGATGCAAATTCTAAACTGTATTTCAAATGGTTTGCAGGTTTTTTGATACACCCTCATGTATAATTAACTATCATGAATGAAGTCATGAAATCCCCCGCGAGGAGTAAAATGAAGACGGCAGTAACAGAATGAATTGGGCAGGTTTTTTTGTATAAATGACGGTCTGTTCACCTGTGAAATAAAATCCGAGTTAACATCTGCATGTTGATTTTCTCGCAAATACATTTACAACTTAGGGCCTGTTCATATGGCCAAAAGTTATCTCGGTTAGCGAGAAAACTTTTCGTCAAGTTTACAAGCGAGATCTCGCCTTTGTATGAAAATAATATGAAAAGTTACACTGCGTTCATATGAAACAAAAAGTTTTCCCGTGTACCGAGATCTCGCATGTTGACAGGCGAGATCTCGGTGACCGGGAAAATGATTTTCCCATATGAACACAACTTTCCCGCTTAGCGGGATAACTTTCTGTCGTGTCAGCAACCTTTCAATTTAATTGATGTTCAGTGCTACGTCACAGCCGAAAACTTTACCCGGTAAGCGGAATAAAGTTTCTCCATATGAACAGAACAAAAGTATTTGGCCAGTCGAAAAGTTTTCTCGTTAACCGGGATAACTTTTGTCCATATGAACAGGCCCTTACTCAGTTAAGAATGGCCTGCATCGCACATATAATTGTACGTCATACTTATGACGACATGAGCTTTTGTTTGCGTCTGCACGTGTGTTTAGTGATGGTCACACTATGTTGGCATTTATAGGGCTCATATCTATTAATTTATTGTGTATCAAATAGTGGACTTTTTATGCGTCTATATACTTTCCAGTAGTGCGTACGTCATGCATAAGCATTCATCAGGCATATCCTAACCGGTGTGGTTCCACTCTTAAAAAAATATGTGCTAAAGCAACACACCTTTTATGTCCAGAAAACAACACACCTTAAGGTGTGTTACAGTAGCACACCTTTAGGTGTGTTATTCGCTTGTCCAGAAAACAACACACCTTTACGTGTGTTTTGAGAAAAGGTGTGTTTGTTAGCACGCCTTGGTGTGTTGCTGTAGCACACCTTTAAGGTGTGCTGCTGTAACACACCTTTAAGGTGTGCTGCTGTAACACACCTTTAAGGTGTGCTGCTGTAACACGCCTTAAAGTGTGCTGCTGTAACACAACTTAAGGCGTGCTGCCGTAACACACCTGATTGATTAAATTAACCTAAGAAATCAATAAAGACATTTTTAAGTCAAAATAATTTATTATCCCTCTATATACAAGGTATACAGTATTGTAACAGGAAATACAATTTGCTTTAGCATATAATGATATATTCTTACGCTCGATAACATTCTTTGAATGCAGTTCTAAGTTCAAAGTTTGATTGATGATATCATGGCTGCATGTGTCTAATATGATGAATTGCAGGATGTTGCAAATAGCCAATATTAAATATTGGAGACAATCAACAGCCTACTCTAGTAAGGCAATAATAGTAGACTGATCATGGGTTTTTGCAGATGGACATTTCAAATGGAAACTGTACAGTTAACATGTGTTTCATAGAACTAACTGAGAGCATGTTTCGCTCGCTGCTCTGGTTTAAATAAATTATTACAAAGTCCAGTTGAATTGTAATTAAGACCCAACGTTTTGACACTCCAGTCTAGTGTCTTCATCAGGGGTGATCTAAAGTTGCAATTGTCGCTTCTTAAATACCCAAGGGATGACGTCACCTGCCAATGAGATGCATGTAATATTACTAGGTTGCCTTAAAACCGTATTTGACTTTAGGCAATATTTTCGCAAAGCCAAAAGATCCTGTTAAAACAAATCAGAAAACTCATGCTGTATATTCTATACCATGCGGTGACTGCGAAAAAGAGTATTTGAGTCAGTCTAAACACCAGTTTGGTACATGGCTAAAAGAACATCAAAAGGCTGTTTTAACTTTAAAACAAGGGAAAATCAGCTTTAGCCGAACATGTATTTGACACCAAACACGAGATTGTGTCGGAAAAATCTAAAGTAATTACCACAAACAATCGCTATCATGGTCAAAGACCATACCTAGAAGCATGGCGTATAAATATGAGTAATTATGCTGTGAATAGGGATGACGGTGCCTATTTTCCGGAATACATCTCATTGGCAGGTGATGTCATCCCTTGGGTATTTAAGAAGCCACAATTACAACTTTAAATCAACCCTAAAGAAGACACTTGACTGGAGTGTCTAAACGCTGGGTCTTGATTACAATTCCACCGGGCTTTGTAATTATTTATTTAATCCAGAGTAGCAAGCAAAACACGATTGATATACCTGGTTGCAGTGAACAAACACACTACAAATAACTCAGGGAGCAATTGCAAGTCTGTCAGCATAAACTGAACCTACAGCCCTGCAATTCTACTGCTACCCTCTGACTTAAAGTGTCTGTTTGCCAAGAGGTCTCCACAAGTTGCTGTACATACTGTACATAAACCATGGTGGTGTCAGTGGTAGTATATCAAGTTAACTGGATCAGTATTATATACATAAACTCCTGGTGACCTTCATTGACTCGTGGGGCTTGATGGACTCTTTGCAATTAAGGAGCTGATCCAAATCACAGGGGTTTCATTCCCGGCACAATAGCTATTACATAGTTATTGTTCAATATTTCCATCTACAGAAAGACTTTAACCCATTGAGTGGCAGCATATCTTGCATTGGACACAAAATAATAAAATAATAAAGTAGAGCACATTGCCACTTAAAGGGTTAAACATTCTGTTCAATCTTGAATTACAAGTAAAATACACTGCATGTAGTGTCAGTGCTCAATCAAGCATATAATATCTAATGTTGTGCAAGTCCATTAGTTAAATTTTAGTACAGAACAAGCTGTACTATACCACCAGTCGGCAACTCCTAGTCCTTTCCTTGGATGGTTTGGTAATCCGTAAACATGCTCTCCAGCAAAAGAACAACATTTTCCAAATAGACCATGAAGTACTTAGAATGCCATTAATGATTATATATATTGCCACTTGTTTAGATGACTTGCCTTCTCCTGGGATGCTTCGATAACTTTTCATTCAGCATCACAGGATATAATGAATCCATATTAAATACAACCACTATTAAGAAAAAATATATAAGATTGATATATAACAGAAGCAAATTATTGAGTGACAATGAATTTGCTATTTTTGGTTGTTTAATTTCTAGTTTACAGAGCAAGCAGAGGTGCAACTTAACACTTGCCCACTAATTGCCCGAGACACGTGAAATTCATGACGGGTAAGTAAACGTTTTATCTTGCTTGCCCGATTGGGCAAGTTGCCTTGCCGCAAAAATATGGGCATCTTTAATTTAAGGGCAGATAGTCTGATTAACCCATTGAGGGGCAGATTCTCCTCCTGACAAGTAAAATTGTCTGATGTTAGACAAAGTAAAATAATAAAGTAGGGCGCATTGCCACTTAAAGGGTTAAAATATCTCGGTAATTGTTTTTTATCAGTTACCTGTACATTTCGAACTGTCTGCAAAAGTGTGATTTTGGTTACCGTTTTGGAAAATGTGCTTCTATATTTATAAAACTCAGACTGGTTGATTCGATTTGGCGAGCCTGCCTATCTAAAGAGGTTCATGTAAACAGACATTCATCCAGGGAAAGCAAGCTATAGCCGGGCTACCTGGGCTGGCTTTCTTGACCATATAAGCAGCTCTTCACACATGTTTTAGGGTGACCGATAGGAGGGTTTAATACCATAGCAAGCACATGCCATACATTGGGTAATATTGGGAGATGGGCTATTACAATGCTATCTATATGCTATTAATTTGACTTCAAACAAATCACATTGTATTTATGTGATTTGTAAGTATACAATTGATGCCAACTATAAATGGCAAATATTTCACAGGAAATATAGCATACACGTATATCACACAAATAAGCTATACGATTTTCTTACTACACAGATAAGTAGAGTGTAGACTAGATTTATACACTTCTGCTAATAGAAATCAAATAATCCACTTAATATAAAAAACAATATTAAAAATATAAGTAATGCATTGCAGTGGCATTACTTCTGCCAAATCGACAGGAAGCCCGTCACCTATAATGTAAACATTTGGTGACAAATAGGTTTTTCAATATGTCAGTATAAAAATAAAATAGAATTTCTGCAATATTAATTTTGACTGTTTGTTTCTAATAATATTAATAATTGTAAATAAAAGTAAATTGCAGCACTAAGCAAAACCTCAATTCGCAATAATCCACTTAATAGAAAAAAAAAATATTAAAAAAGAAATGACAACATTACAGTAATACATCACAGTGGCATTACTTCCGCCAAATCGACAGGAAGCCCGCCACCTATAATGTAAATTTTACATTTAGCTTTTTCGACATGTCAGTATAAAAAAAAAAATTAGAATTTCTGCAACATTAATTTTGACCCTTTGTTTCTAAGAATATTAACAATTGTAAATGGAACACGAGTGGAAGTTGTGTGAATTGTTAGCTGATTTCTGATAGATTGTATTCCAAGAACTTTGAGTCGATGTATAAGGCGGAGATGTAAACAAGCGAACGGGCGACAATATTAAATTCCTGATATAAACTCCAAAAGTGGAACAGCTCAAAGGAACTTTTCGCATTCAAGACATGTATATTTATGTTTTCTTCAAATTCTCTAAACTAAAGGCGAAGAACAATGATGTTTTAAGCGTGTTTATTTCAAGAGGTTTTTAGTCACGCAATCGCCAAACAGTCATTTTTGCATATTTAATGAACCAAAGTTAACTCTTCTCGTAGCGCGTGAGTTTATTTGCCCAAAATAAATAATATATTTCTGAAAAGAGCAGTTTTCCAATAGTGCTTGTGCAAAATCTCATAAGATTTGAAAGGATGGCAAATGGAGAAATCTGTCACTTTTTACATGCAATGACAAACCACGCTGGGCACGAAAGGCTGTAAAAACGCCGGGTTTAGCTTGTTGCCGTTACTCTCAGCCAGTGGTTTCTCCTATGGCGCTTCTGTATACTTCATGTAATTTTTCACGTAATAATTCAATATGGCGGAAACATTTGGAGTGGAAGAAGCTGTTGAGTGTATTTTTAGGGCAGATGAGTCAGGCGAGGAACAAAAAAGTGATGCAGACATCGGATGCCGGGAACAAATAAGCAAATCTGAACCAAACGGAATTGGAATAGAAAAAATTCTTCAAACTACCTATATAAACGCGGCTTGTGTACTTAAACACGAGTCCCAACTGTGGCTGGCCGCTATCCACAGACGGCTCGCTGGGAGAAGAAGTGTGAGACATCCATATTATGCAGAATTTTATCGCGACATTCCAGTTGACCTTTTTACTGCACTGTCTCACTCCATCAAAGTTTCAAACGATCCAAAATTAGGGGAACCTATGTGCTATATTAAAGGAAACAGCAAAGGTGAAGTGGTTTCTTTAACAGACATCCAGTCCCTAATCTATTTGCTAACATTGTTGTCTGGCAAGCAGCAAGAAGATGTGGCCTTTTATTTGAAAAGAACGCTCGGGGGAGCACGGAAAAATCACAAAACAAAGGTTTTAGTCTCCCAAGAAAAAGATTTTGGACTTATTTATAGTTACAAGAAAGGGCAGTTGACAATATGTTTTAATTATGGTGAATGGAACTCCTTTGGATTTCCCCAACATAACTGCAATTTAAATATTTAAATTTTGTACTTTAGCAAACTGATATTTATATTTAGCTAGTGAAGTCACTATATGGCATCGTTAAAGTTTTTTTTCTTTGTTGTAATCAAATAATATCACAATTAAAACAAAAAATATAAAAGCAGGGATTTTGCACCCCTACCTGCAATCTCTAGCACCTAGTGTTATATCCAGCACAAACATATTAGCATCATACTTATGTTAATAGAAATTTCTATGATTTATGACACTATGGACAGCCGCTAAGATACCCCTGTGCACAATTGATACACAGGCAGAATATGGACTGGAGCTGTTTAAAAATTAAAATATCTAAAATGCCATTCCAATTCATATTCACATTGATATTGAAAGTAGATGGCAGAATTTGCCAGTTGTCAGCTTCTAATAATACCCCTGGATCTATTGGTACAGCTGTGGCAAAACTTTCTATGACAACAAGTTGTGCTAACCAACTTTTTACCATGGGTAGCTTCTCCACTGACACCCTCTCTCATCTGCCAAAGAAGCTAGATTTGGCATTAAGAATCCTCAACCGTGTGGGTCTAGCGAATTGTTATTCAGTTGTCGCTCAGTGAATCACTGCTCAATACTTTGTTCCCTATATTTTTTTGCTCTGGACTACTTCACAGATTATACAGGTACAATTAAAAAATATATGATCAATTTATTTCAAGTACCAATAAATGTATAATAAATATAATACATTAAAAATAATGCATTGTAATATATTAAAATAATATATAATAAATATAATAAATATAATACATTAAAAATAATGCATTGTAATATATTAAAATATTAAAAGAGATATAAAAATATCTTTGAATAAAATGCAGCCGTGTACAGGCCGAGGAAACTCTAAAATGCTATCATAATAAGGGCAAAAAGCATTTGCTTTCCATCAATATCACTTTTTAAATTACAATAACAAATCCTTTCCAGAAACCCCAAATCCTTATTATTTATTAAAAGTCATAGATAAACATGAAATACTGAAACACGCCGTATTTCACCAATGTAAAGGCTTGTGCCAGCATGAGGAATGTATGAGGTGCAAATTTTAGCATACACGCACTCACTGCTTTAGGCAAGATGTGTAACTTAAAAGATACAAAGTACAATGCAAATGTTGTAGAATTTCTGATGCCGAACATAACTTTCGACCCAAAATATATCATATTTAACCCCCAACATGAATATCTCCAATACTTTATACATGTCTTGCAACCAACAACATCTTGCAACCAACAACATGCAACCAACAACATGCAATCTACATGGCCTATTTTTTTAAAAAACCCTTAACCTTATCCATCATTTTTTTCCTCAATTTATGGTTACAAAACCTGCAACTGGCAGACTGAACCTGTTTTTCGCACCCACAATTGCAAAATTTAGAATCTTCAGTGGCACGCTTAGGGATATACATATAACGCGAACAGCATTCGGATGCTGGTTTTTCAAAATTGTAGCCCTTTTCCCTCAACCACACAAGCGAAACATACTCATGTTGAAAAATTTGCTCCCACCTGGCCTTAAAATTGGTGTTTTTGCTGTATCTTGAGATGGATATATGTTTTGACTCCCTCCCCTCCATCGAATTAAGACCAAGTCCTTTACCATACTTCACTTTCATATCTCTAGCATGCTCAGGAACAATGTTTCCCAATGTCCATGCAGTAGGGTGGTGGTCAAAATACAGATAATGTAGGACAAAATATGTTCGACAGTTTTTCTCCAAATCATCTAACTGTGAATCGGTTACATCGATTCGACTGAACACAGAAACACAATCCCGCAGGGTTAAACACAAGTAAGCAAGTACATGAAATGTAAACAATGCCTTAGTTTTATCTTTCAAAAATGATTCCATAGCAGCAATTAGAAACATGAAGTTCTGCAAAAAGCACCGAGAATCTTTTCCGGTGAATCTATAATCAAACTTGCTATCTCGGTTTTCATTGAACCACCTAATAATTTTGTTTGCAAGTCTTCTAAGATTGCACTTAGTTCTCATTGCATCAATATATTTGTGAAATGGCGAAGTGCTGGGAACCTGCAAAAATGATTTTATTGCACTGGGTAATTGAGAAATCAGTAATACCTCTTGTAGAAGTAGCCTGTGGGCTAGTGCACATGCATTATTTTTTAGGTGCAAAGGATCAATATGGATCCTA